CATACAGGCAACTGAACAGACAGATCTCCAAATGCATGCGGCGATACTTACGCAACTTTAATACTTCTCGTATTAAAGAAGCGATCGAGCGGAACCAGGGCTCCAAAGTCTTTGCCAGAGATCTGTCTGCTAGTAAGAGCCAACTGTCAAAGCTGAAGACTGAGTGTGGCAGCATCGTTTCCGGGACACCTGAGATTTTGAGTGAGATTGAGAGGTTCTATGGGCAGCTGTACACATCATCGTTGGAGCCACACGCAAGTGTGAGTAACGATCCAAGAGCAAGTCTCATCCGACACTATTCCGATGATATCCCGGACGTCAGTCTAAGCGAGATTAGAATGGCTCTCCAGCACCTTAAAAACGGCAGGGCCCCAGGCGAGGATGGAATTACAGCGGAGCTTCTGAAAGCGGGTGGAACACCGGTACTTGAAGTCCTTCAGAAGCTCTTCAATTCCGTCCTCCATGGCGGCACTACTCCAGAGGCGTGGAGCAGAAGTGCGGTGGTCTTGTTCTTTAAGAAAGGCGACAACGCTCTCTTAAAGAACTACAGACCGATTTCCCTTCTGAGCCGCGTCTATATGCTGTTTTCGAGAGTCATTACGAATCGTCTCGCACGCAAACTCCGACGACTTCCAGCCTCCTGAACAAGCCGGTTTCCGAAAAGGCTTCAGTACCATAGACCACATACATACCCTGCGGCAGATTGTACAGAAAACTGAAGAGTACAATCTGCCACTTTGCCTGGCGTATGTGGACTATGAGAAAGCCTTTGATTCCGTCGAAATTTGGGCGGTGCTACAGTCCCTCCAGCGGTGCCAAGTTGACTGTCGGTATATCGAAGTGCTGAAGTGTTTGTACAGTAGGGCTACGATGGCTATCCGAGTACAGAACCAGAGCTCGAAACCTATCCAACTGCAGAGAGGTGTAAGACAGGGTGACGTTATATCCCCGAAACTCTTCACCGCTGCATTGGAAGACGTTTTCAAGCTACTGGACTGGAAAGGATACGGTATTGACATCAATGGCGAGTACATCACTCACCTTCGATTTGCCGACGATATAGTCCTTATGGCAGAATCGCTGGAGGACTTAAGCACTATGCTCAATGACCTCAATAGTGCCTCCCAACGGATAGGTCTTAAGATGAACATGGACAAAACAAAGATCATGTTCAATGTCCATGTCACAGCTATGCCGGTAGTTGTTGGGAGCACTATGCTCGAAGTTGTTGACGAGTACGTTTACCTGGGACAAATAGTCCGACTAGGTAAGTCCAACTTCGACCGAGAGGTCAATCGACGGATTCAACTCGGCTGGGCAGCGTTCGGAAAATTACGACATATATTCTCGTCAGGTATACCTCAATCTCTAAAAACTAGATTGTACAACCAGTGCGTGTTGCCAGTGATGACTTACGGATCTGAGACGTGGTCCTTCACTGCTGGCCGTATGAGGACGCTCAAGGTCGCTCAGCGAGCTATGGAGAGGGCTATGCTCGGAGTTTCTCTGCGTGATAGACTCAGAAATGAGGATATCCGCAGTAAAACCAGAGTGACCGACATAGCCCAACGGATTAGTAAGCTGAAGTGGCAATGGGCCGGCCATATTGCTCGAAGAACCAATAACCGATGGAGAAGAAAGGTTTTTGAGTGGCAGCGTCGTACCTGTAGGCGTAGTGTAGGGTGACCCCCCACTAGATGGAGTGACGACCTGGTAAGATACGCAGGAAGTCGATGGATGCAGGTGGCTCAGGACCGTGCTTTGTGGCATTACTTGGGGGAGGCCTATGTTCAGCAGTGGACTTGTGAAGGGCTGTAATGATGATGATGAATATATGCTCAATATTTTCGGATGAATGGGATAAAGATAGTATAGATATAAATAGTGATAAAACAGTAAAAACGAATAAAGATAACAAAGGAAACATTTGAGTGTCATCATCATGCTTCAATAAACTGATATTGTCCGAAAAGAGTTCTATGCCTTCAGGAAATGATTTTATATGTTAACAATTTCTCAGAACACGCCATTCTGTATCGATTTTATGGAACTGATTATTTTGAACAATATTGGGAAAGAGTCTAATTACAGGAATAATCGAAGCAGTTTTGTCATATTTGTTGAGTCAATTTCAAGCAGTGGTGAAGCTAGGACTCCAAACTAGGGCAAACCCAAGATATGGTTTTGTTGTTTTTAGCAGTTTTATAAAATACACCAATTATGATCTGTCTCCACTCTTTAGTTTGATATTCAGTGCTGTCGAGGACGTGTTTAACAAAGCACACAGAATGCATGTTACTACTAGATAGATTGTATGACATATCAGCAATTACATACCTTCTGTGGCTTTGAAAAAAGCCGTTTGGGTTTGTTTGAGCGAAAGAAAAAGATATTTAAATACAATACACTATATGAACAAAAGAAAAGCATGAATAAAGTCCAGAGCAACTACGTAAAAATTAAAAAAATATTTATATTCTAAATCGAATCTTCTCTCTTTCTTAAGGAAAGATTTGTTTACGTCCGCGTAAAATGTAATCCGCACATACAATTTACCAATTCACCAATTGCGTTAATGGTAAGTTTGAAAGACTGTCGCTGTCGCTTTGTTGTTATTGTATATGCTTTTGACGTTGTGTATTGCTCACATAAATATGGATGCGCTTCAGAGACGAGAAAGCACGTTTACAACAAGATAAGCCAACTTTAAAAGCTGTGGAAAGGCCTCTTCAAGACTATTTTCGTTTATAAAGTCAATGAGTTCGAAAACATTGTGGTCTTTTAAACATTTTAAACATTCAGGGGAGGAATACAATGAAATAAATTGGTTTTTCAATGTTTATTTATAAAAATGGTTTACGTAATTTTCAAATAGTGTATCTAATGCCTCTAAAGAAAAATCTGAACGATATTTTTCGAATAGTTTGTTGTTAAACAGTTGGAAAAATTTCAATTAGAAAATTTCAGAATATCGGCCATCAATTTCTGAAGATATGTTATCAATTATCTCAACAAAAAGTCGTTTGTATTCTGTCCGAGCACAGCGCACATTGCGTCTCAAATGAGGAGCAGAGTTATTTTGCAATGTATTTTCGTAAATGTGATCAAAATCTGACTGAAATTCATAACGTAACCATTTCTGAAACTCCTTTATTTTATTACTGCAATAACCGACATCAACTTGTAATTTTTGTAAAATATTGTACAAACAGTCGATTTTTTCAAATCCCCGATGGAATTTTTTTGGTATCCTTTATTTACAACAATCTGTCGCCTTTGAGGGACATTCAGCAGTATGTTTGTTGGTGCTATCGCTGGCGTGCTCGGTATGTGACCTGTGTCACATCCTCATTATTAAACAGTAACTGGGTTTACTGTGTTTGTGTTTATATTAAATCTTGTGGTATCTTGCGCTTTAAGCGTCGCGCTTTGTTGTGGTTTGCCATGAGTGGCCGGGCCAGAATATTTGGATGACGTTCGATGCGCTCTTTATAAGATCTAGTATGGCGTAGGATTTCCTGTTTCACAGTAGGCAGGCGTAGATCATGATGTAGTAATTCGTTGGGCACATACCAGGGGGCATTAGTTATTATGCGGGGTGCTTTATTTTGAAACCTTTGTAAGATTTCGATGTTTGAATGGGATGCAGTACCCCACAGTTGGATTCCATACGTCCAGATAGGTTTCAGTATTGCCTTGTACAGAAGTATTTTGTTTTCTAGAGACAATTGAGACTTTCGTCCTATGAGCCAGTAGAGTTTTCGCGTTTGAATACCGAGTTGCTTTCTCTTAGTGAAAATATGTTTTTGCCAGGTAAGTCTTTTGTCCAAGAACAATCCAAGGTATCTCACATAATCTGCCTGTGGAACTACAATGTTGTTAAGTGTGACTGGGGGGGGGGGCAAGAGCCCCTTCTTAGGCTGAACGTTACGTTGACTGATTTGGTTTCATTTGCTTTTATCCGCCACTTTTTGAGCCATTGGGATATGTCATTTAACCCTTTCTGAAGTATTTGTGAGGCTATTTTTGGGTCGCTATGAGTAGCCAGTATAGCGGTGTCGTCAGCAAAGGTTCTAGTGTTTAATGATTCAGATGTCGGCAGGTCCGCAGTGAAAAGTAAATAGAGTATGGGACCCAGTACACTGCCCTGCGGGACTCCTGCTTTTAGGCACCCGCACCAACCCATTTTCCACTTCCCTGCAGGACCACTGCATTTTTAATCAGGATAGTGTAGATGTCTATGCCACTTACCATCAGTGGACTTTGCTCTTGACACCCTACTATAGGGCAGAGATCTGACAGAGCTTCCCCTTGTTGTACTATGAAATGGCGCTGCTGGAGAAATGATTTTAATATCCCGTAAAGGTGATCTGGTAGTGCATTTTTCAATTTAAATAACAATCCCTCATGCCATACGCGGTCAAACGCTTCAGATATGTCCAGGAATGCACTGGCGCAGTAAGATTAACCTTCCAGCGACTCCATGATGTATGTTATTAGCCTGTGCACTTGGTCGATAGTGGCATGCTTACTGCGGAATCCAAACTGGTGGTCAGGGATTAGCTCCTTCTCTTTGAGTATAGGCAAGATTCGTTGTAGCAGTAGGGATTCATATATTTTGGACTTATGGGCCTGTACGATTTTGTTTCTTCAGGTTGTCTCTCTGGCTTTAGCAGCATTACAATTTGTGCGACCTTCCACTCCAGTGGAAAAAACTGCAGTCTGGTCATGGCATTAAATAGTGAAGTAAGGAAAGTTATGCCAGATTCAGGTAGTTTTTGTAATATCCGGTTTGTAAAGAGGTCGTAACCTGGAGCCTTTTTTGGGTCTGATTTTCTAATAATTCGAGCAACTTCTGTTTTTGTAAATTTAAGAGGCATTTCCATCGTATCTTTTGGGTTATTCGAGTGCTTAGTAATTTCTGCTGCATCTTCTGGTGAGCCGTCATATGGGTGAGGGGTAAAGACGTTGGAGAGGTGTTCTGAGAAAGTTCTGGTTTTCTACTGGTCTGTCCGCGCCCAGGTACCAACTGGTTTTCTTATAGGAGGAGAGACGTTGACAGGCCGTTTTAGTCTTCCGGTGGCTTTCCACAAAGAGTAGTCCGTGGAAGCAGTAGTATCCGGGCCGGCGAGGTAATTGTGAAATCCGTCATTACGATCTTTCTCTAGGATGTGTTTTAGCTGTCTGTTGGCGTGATTGAGTTGTTTTTTCGCCACAGGGTCTCTGGTTGTTTGCCAGCGTTTTCGTATCCTCCTTTTTTTGATTATTTTATCGAATATGTGTTTCGGTACGTGGGTATCCAGGTTTCTAGATTGTGGTGGTGGGGTCGATGACCATGCTGCATCTTGCACACTCTTGTTGAAGTATAGCACCACTTCCGTTATTTCGTCTTCCGATTTTAGGCTAATTGATTCTTGGAATGCTTTGTCTGTGAGCTCACGAAATAGAGACCAGTTAGTTCTATTGTTATACAGAACACATTTTCTGGCGCGTTCTTGGGGGATGGTATGTAGTTCTACTATGATTGGAGAGTGGTCTGAAGATAAGTCCCAGCAACTCTGGCACGATATGATGTTCTTAGCGATTCCTTTGCTGACACAAAAATCTATAACATCTGGGATTTTTCTTTTGTCTGTTGGCCAGTAAGTTGGTTGACCCGACGATACCACGTTCATATTTCTTTTTTGTATGCATTTAAGGAGTTCACGCCCTCTGGGTAGAACAAGCCTGGAACCCCAGAACGTATGCTTGGCATTATAATCGCCTCCTGCGATAAACCTGACTCCAAGTGATTGAAAGAAGTTACTGAACTCCGATTCCTTAATAGTGAATCTAGGTGGACAATAGAGGGCCGTGTAATATCACTAATCCAGTCTGTTACCACGACATTTGTTGCCTGGATGTAGTTTTTGCAGTAATGTTGTAGTACATGATGCCTGATGTTTGACCTGATAAAAACGGCCGATCCTCCATGTGCTTTGTTATCTGGGTGGTCAGTATGGTACATGTTGTATCCTGGTAGGCTAAAGTGGCTTTTGGATGTGAAGTGGGTTTCTGAGATTAGTAAAACATCTATGCGGTGCATTTTAACGAATATTTTTAACTCTTCCGAGTGGTTTGACAAGCCATTAGCATTCCATACACATAATTTTAGTGCTGTGAATGTGATGGCATTTTTGAAATTAATTCGGTTAGCGTTTTGGTCATGATTAACATTTGATTCATCAAGGCAACAAGTGTCTCCTTAATAATTTGGAGCTCACTCGTGTTTTGGTTTCCATCCTTAGTGTTCGTTGTTTGTGTTGTAGGTTGTCCAGAGAATTCTTGTGTGGCTTGGGCATACGATTTTTCGTTATTTGTTGATTTGTCTGTAGGTTCTTGTTCCTTTCTAGTGTATCCAGGGTTTTTCCTAACTTTGGTGATTGTATGGGGATATCGGACTTTCAACAGTTCTTTATAGACTGTGCAACCTTTATAGTTAGCTGGATGGTTTCACTCGCAGAGGACACATTTAACCTCTTTTGATCTGTCTTTCCGTAAGCAAGCTGAAGTGTGGTGCGAACCTGCACATTTGACGCATCTGGGCTTTCTATTGCAGAACTTTTGTGTGTGGTTGTAATCTTGGCAATTAGTGCATTGGGGGATTACTCGCCTTGGTCTAGGTGCTTCAAATGATATGCGACAGTGTAGTAGATATTTGACGTTATATATGTCTTTATTATTTTCGCGGGGCTCCAGTTCGATGTTCCACATTGGTAGCGCCTGTTTTGTTCTTGAGTTTTGGATGTTCCAGACATTTACTACTTTGTGGTGAAGCTCCTCAATAGCTATTTTTATATCCTCTTTGTCTGTAGATGGGTGTAGATGTTTTAGCACAAAACTGCGGTCTTGTTTTAGTTGGTAACTATAAAATTCGGTATCATTAGCCTTTAGTTCTTTATAAATGGTGAAGTATGATTCGGCTGATATTGGTTGTATTTTAACTCTGTCACCTCGTAATATCTTGATTTTATATTCTCCTTTTGATACGTCTTCTAATAGTTTCATCAAAGGTTGTATATTCTTGACTCCGTCAATGAATAGTGGAGCGGCTCTTGTGGGCTTCGGTGTTTGTATTTCAGGCTTGTCTGCTTGCTCTATAACTTCGAGCCCTTTGAATCGATTGGATGTTGGTACTGCTGTTGTTGTAAGCCAGTAGTTCAATTTTGCCTGCTTTTGATGGAAAAATGAAAGAAAAAAATTAAAATTAATGCAATGTGTTTTCAAAATTCTCGGCAGCCAGGATCCTATTGCCGTCCCAGTTCTGCGGATTGCCGCACATATCCGAAAACAAATTAATCAGATTATCTTTTTGTTTAAATACTGTATTCACAATTTGTGACGTATACTTCCAACGAGTTGCAGGGACATTATGCATTTTTTTGCTGCAATGTGCATCATAAAAAGGCGACCGTTTTGTGCTGTTATTAAAAAAACCTGAAGGGCTGAAAAAAAAAGTGCTGACTTCCCCAATCCTGTTACAAGATTTAGATAAAACTGATGTCAAAATGTGTGCATTACACCAAATATATATGGCGTGGGGACAAACATCTTTAACTTTTTGTTGCACTCCATTTCTGACACCGGACATGACACTTGCGCCGTCATAGCTTTGCGCAACTAGTTTTGTGGTGCAGTCATATTTGTTTTATAATTCCAATATGATATTACAAAGTGTGTCTGCTGTGCAACTGTCAGACACATCTACATACCCCAAAAAACGGTCATGAATATCGTTTGCATAATAACATCGGAGAATCAGACACAATTGCTCTCTGTTTTTCGTCAATAATAATTGAAACAAATTTTGACAATTTTACTTCGTACTCGTTTTCATTCCCCGCGACCGGGGTTCACCCATATTGCTTTGATTTCATTAATTTTGACAGCCCATTGAGTGTTCGCTTTGTGTCAGTGTATTGCGAATTGAAAGCAATCTGCCAAGTGCTGACATTACATAATAAGGCTACGAAGTCATGACCTGTGTAGAACAGAGGAGCGCGCGGAAAATGTGAAATAGTTTGAAACAGTTTACGAGTTATTTTATTAGTTAATATTAATGATTAAGCAGTTTGATAGGGCAATTTCGGCTTCTCAGCTTTTATGGAGGCTTCGCTACTGATTTCAACGTTTATTTTTTTAAAGAAAATCATGCAGTTATTTGCTTACATGCTTCGATGTAAAAATCTAGGCATCTGCAATTGAATAAGTTTATTTGATCTGGGCTTAGATTTTGACAATAAATTAGCGTATTAGAGCCGCACCGGTTTGCGGTCTCGATATCCATAAAAATTTCTGGGATTAACATTTTCAGTTTAAGTACTTTCTAAATATTTTCTTTCTAAAAACAATCAAAGCAAAATTCGTAATATTCGACTTATTTTTTTTTTATTTTAAAATATGAATTTTCGGATATTCAGCCTGCATTTCTGTATTTAAATCGTTAAATAATGGTAACATAAAATCCAAAAATTCCAAAGGTCGCAAGGTTGTAGGATCTTGAAGTTTCTGTAGTATATTTTCTGCAGCTAAAAGATGATCATTTTTAGATACTTATCTCGAATAATTATTTTAGAGCAGAAAATTGTTCCAAAACTCTTTTCACTGCCGCATGTGAGCAATGGTGAAGTATTTTCTGTACTTTTAAGTCACAAAATATTCAAAAGTCTTTAAATTCTGAAACTTTTAAATAAATGTCCATTACGAGTCCTCAATAAATCGTGGCCGTGCATGTGCACTTAAGTATACAAATTTTGGGAATTTCGTTTTGCAGCAACGTAATAACAGAATGTAAAACCTATTAAATTATTTTGACATGGAATATTAGCCTTTGTAAAAAAGCTTACGATGTGATCAAATAAGGATACTGCATCGGCATTTTCTAATGAAATAAGGGATAAAAATCTATATATGATTTGATTATTGTTCGAATATCGCGCGGCTAGGCATAAGTGTTTGAATGTGCTAAGATAAATGGACTCGTCAAGCATAAATGAAAATTTGATTTTCTGCAGATCTCCACATAAATCTTCAAACATTTGTTTACCAATAATATGTGGTAGAGCCACGTTGCAGCTATATTATAGTTGTAGCACGAATGGGTCGGCTCAACCGGGGCAGGGTCACGCTCTCACATAATATCAGCGTGATAAACAGCTCAATACTGCTGTTTCGTATGTTGAGTATAGAGAAACGGATATCAGCGTAAAATAGCAACGTAATGCTGTATCATTTTTATCACACAAACACAGCAGTGTTTCGTATGGTGAGTGTAGAAAATCGGAGACCATTTTTACTGGAATCGAGGCATTCCATCTTAGTCCTCAGGGGTGACAACGCATTTGCATTTTGATGCTTAATTGAGGATAAATGTGGATGTCTAGCAACGTAATGCTGTATCATTTTTATCACACAAACACAGCAGTGTTTCGTATGGTGAGTGTAGAAAATCGGAGACCATTTTTACTGGAATCGAGGCATTCCATCTTAGTCCTCAGGGGTGACAACGCATTTGCATTTTGATGCTTAATTGAGGATAAATGTGGATGTCTATGGGCATCCACTTACCACAGGTGGACTGTGTGTTCGTTTATCACCCAATGCTACAAAAAAACGATCAATTATAGCGTGAGCCTTCGTGGTTAAAGATTTTATTTCCTTCGCAATTTTGGAACCTGGACAAACGGATTAAATCAGTTTCGGTAGATGCTCCATAATAGTGAACGGTAGATTATGTTAAGCTACAAACGAGGCTAATATTATTTCACCTTAAATTTAAAAAGAAACATTCATAAGGAAATCAGTTAAGTGCGACTCAAATTCAAATTCATTTATTTGCAGGAATGTACTCGTATGTGTACAATAAAGTATGATCTTAAATTATGTATAATGGCCCATTTACATTCTACCACTTTATATGGTGTGCAAATGTTTTATATGTACACATGCAAAAAAAATTAACAACAAGTGGGAATTCAATTTCGAACATTTATGATTAATTGATGTCAATATCATGTCATTTAAGCAATAGGTTTTAAAATGTCACATTGTGTAATGATTGTTCTTAATTGTTAATGTCCACACTTTCAGTTTGTTTGTAATTAATAATGAATTATTAGATATATATCAATATTACTGACTTCAGGTTTATTTTCAACAAAAAAACCTAAATTCATTTAGGTCGTAAAAACATTTTTCTTTTAACCATTGTATCAACTTTTTTTTAAACATGGTTAAAGGTAACTCTTTAAAGTCGTCGGTATTTTGTTATACACCTTTATAGCATTTACGTAAGAGTTCCTTTCACCCAATGTGAGCCTGCATTAAGGTAAGTATAATTTATGTTTATTTCTAGGAGCTACATTTCGTTCAGTTACATCTATATGCCTTCAAAGTGTGAATTCAAAGTGTTCAGGATGTTGTTTTACAAATATGCATATTTCTTTAATGTACAACCATGTTTACACACACAATGTAAACACATTTTTTGTACTCTAAATACTTTTATTATGGGCATCCACTTATACTGAATTACCTTACTGAATTGCCCCACAATAAAAAACCATATGATAGTACTGACGAAGCATATCCGTGATATGCACATAGAGCAGCATCAGTTTATACCGTGACTCGTAATCTTTTTACTGCGTAGACAAATCTGTCGAGTTTATCACAAACGTAACCAGAAATTTAGTACTTGCTACTTGTTCGATGATCTTATCATTATATTTATATTAGTATTCAATAGTTTTCTTTGATATGTCTAAAATTGGATCATTTTAGTTTTCCCATATTAATCTGTAAATTATTACAATAAAGCCAGTCTATTATGTTTTTAATTGCTTTATTTATCTCTATTTCATATGTATCTGCATTTTCACATTTCACGATATGGGTTGTGTCATTAGCAAACAAGATTGTGTTATGGCGAGTTATATTAGGGAGATCATTAATATACATGAGTAATAAGAATGGTCCCAATACACTGCCTTGGGGCACGCCAAATTCATTTATCTGATTGTCACTTCTGTATAACACTTTTTTGTCTTTATTGACTTTAGATATTTCCACACATTGTTGTCTCTCACATAAATAGTTTCTCAACCAGTCGTTAGCTTTACCTCTTATCCCATATTTTTCTAATTTGTGTAAGAGCAATTTATGGTCCACGAAATCGAACGCCTTGCTCATGTCCAGGAAGATTGCCGCAACTGGAAGGCCATCATTTATACTGGTGACTATTTTAATCAAATTAAAACATGCTAATGAGGTTGTACTATTCTGTTTAAATCCAAATTGCTCCTCCTTAAGCAAACGATGACCTATCGTGAATTCTTGAAGCCTTCTCAGCATAATCTTCTCAAATATTTTTGAATATTTTTAGGAATACAACTGGAAAAGAAAGGCGAATGTTTCAAAATCGGCAAAGGCGGACGACAAGGAGATCCTCTGTCACCAAAATTATTCTCGGCGGTGCTTTAGTATATTCAGAGGTCTATTTTCAGAGGTCTATATTCAGAGTAATATTCAGAGGTCTTCATTGGGAAAATCTCGGTATCAACGTAGATGGTCGTTCACTAACTCATCTGAGATTCGCAGATGACATTGTGCTATTTGCAAAAACTCCCGAAGATTTAACAAAAATGATAAATGATTTAGCAATGGAGATCAAGAAGGTGGGTTTACAACTGAACCCAGAAAAAACAAGGTTGCTGACCAACGGAGAAAGAACAGCTATAAACTTAGGGATTAATCAAAACAAGTATACGGAAGAATATGTTTATCTGGGACAACTAATAACGATTGATAACCCCATGCGCAAAGAAGCTGAAAGAAGAATAACCAACGCCTGGAAAAGGTACTGGGCTTTTAAAAAAATAATACAGTTTAAATTATCCACTGCCTGGACTTATATTAATAAATTCCTGCAGAGATTATGAAGGATAAAAATCTGCATATTAATATAAAAAGCAAACTTTTTTAACACCTGCATACTGCCAGTTCTCATGTACGGTAGTCAAACATGGACCTTGTCACAAAACCTGACTTACAAACTTGCAACATGCCAGCACGCAATGGAAAGAAGCATGATGAATGTGAAAAAATCCGACCGACTGAGAAATTGTGTAATAAGAAGCAAAACAAAGGTTACAGACATAACGTAC